TTAGTCACGGCAACTGGACTTCTTCCTTGTTAGGTTGAAACATTTTGCTACTCATTCAAGTACCATGGACCCTCGACTTACAGACGGCTCCACTTGCAGACTTTTCGAGTTACAGACTTCTCTGGCCACAAAATTTAGGTTTGACTTGCAGCCAGAGAATCAACCTACAAACTGGAAAAAAACCAAAACGGAACATAAACGGCCGGTTATGGATTAATCGGTTTTCAATGCATTGTAGGTCAACAGAGTCTGGACCTAGAGACTTTTCGACCTGCAACCACCATTCCAATACGGATTAATTGCGTAGGTCCACTGTAGCTTCTTCGGTCTGAGGAGAGTTGGTAGGAAATCCCTGATATATCCTCCATGGCTCAACTTCCAGATAATTCTGGAGGTAACTAACAAGCTCCTTTAAAAAAAAATTTTAATCATAAATATTATTTATTTAAAATATTTTTACCCCACTTTCTCCTCAAAAAAGGACCTAAGGTGATTTCACATCATTAAAAGACAGTATTTAAAGCAAAAGGACCTAAGGTGGTTTTACATCATTAAAAGACAGTATTTAAAGCAAACAACGAGTATACAAATACTTAAAAAGATCAAATATCGTACTAAAAACTGAAACAACACCAAAACACATTAAAAGCAGTAAACTACAATAATCCATTCAAAACTTCCAGCCAGGCAGAAAGTCACTCTAGGAAAGCTTGCCTGAGGAGAAAGATGCTCCCAGACTTTGGATGGAGTTCCAAAGTTTGGGAGCAGCAACAGAGAAGGCCCTCTTCCATGTCCCCATTAGGTGCACTTGTGAAAGTGGCTGCTTCAATGTGAGATTTTGCTTATGCACTACACATCTGTATTTTTGTTTTGTTTTGTTGAAGCGGCATATACATGTACCCACGTGTGCACATAACTTGTGAAAGTGGCCGCTCCAATGTGTGGTTTTGCTTATGCACTACACATCTGTAGTTTTGTTTTGTTGAAGTGGCATATACATGTACCCACGTGTGCACATAGGGGGCCACTGCAGGGGATACTGGGTGCTGGACCCAGGTTTTCTGATCCCTCTCTAGTATCCTGCACCAGGCATGGGCTGACTTCCGGCTGACAGGGCCACATTTTACTTACATTTGAAATCTATCAACTGGATGCAGGTGTCAAAAATATACACTTAGAATGAAATTATTTTGAACTTAGATGTTCATTTTGTGCACTGTAACTTAATATAACACATAATTTCCCGTACAAAAATTCACTGCAGGTTCCCTCCCACGCCATGACTTTCTTCATTTCATTACAAAGGGAATCATTTTGTGGTTTGCAATGTTAAAACAAGTGGAATGGGAACTGGAGATCTTTGGAGAACTATTTCAGAAGATCACTCAGTGATCTCCTAATAGATGCCAATTTGCCCATCTTTATGGTAGTCTGGAATTAAAATCCAATCTCCCATCTCAAAACTGTGACATAAAACCATGGTTCACATTGCAAAAGCTGCCGCTGGTTTTCCTGTAGTGCTTCTGCATTCTTTCCTACCCATTTCCAGTCCTAGTGAAGAACAGAGACAACTCGCTCTGTACTGGACACAATGAGATAGCTGGTGTTTACTACAGATGAGAAACAGATCGTAATTCGAGTGTACTCAATTTTAATTTATCTTTTTGTCTTCATATTGCTTCTTCTCTAATACAAAGGAACATGCCAGGGCCAACCACTGGCATATGTTTTTCTCCGCAATGACCACACCTTCCAAGGATGGCAATGAGGACAGGATTTGGAAACACGTATAGATGTGTAGGCAGATATGTGTAGGGTGGAAGGGCTGGATATACAAGCTAAATCCTAAGCATACTTACCAGAAAGAAAGTCCCATTAAGTTTGGGTTTAGCTATTAAATAACCTAGGAAAAAAACTGAGTGAGTACATCCCCTATAATTCCCTCTTTGATCTTATCCCATTGACATAGTATACTAGCTTGTAGAGTATAATAAGTGTGTGAGCTAAGAGGTCCTTGGTTCAATCCCACCATAGCTATCACAGCCATTGGGTAACCCTAGACAAGCCACTTCTCTCAGTCTCAAAGTAGCATCAACACCCTGGTAATATGGGACTAAAAAAGCACTGACCTAACTTACAGGATGTCTCAGTGTGGTGTAGTGGACAGAGTGATGGACTAGGGCTCTGGAGATCAGGGTTCGAATCCCCACTTTGCCATGGAAACTCATTGAGGGAGTGGAACTGGTAGAACCATTCCTTAAATACCTCACTTACCTTGAAAGGCTGGTTAGGGTTGCTATAAGTCAGCTCCAACTTGACGACACAGACCTTGCAGGGTTTTGGGTTTTTTATTTTTAAAATATAAATAAAATGAGGGGGGAAAGATACTTTAAACCAGTGGTTCTTAACCTTGAACTTGACAACACACACCTTGCAGGGTTTTGGGTTTTTATTTTTAAAATAAAATGAGGGGGAAAAGATACTTTAAACAATGCATAATAAGAAAAATGTAGAACGAAATTCACTCTTAACTGTTTTTCAACTGCAGCTCCCAGAAAGCCTAGCCAGCACAAGTGGTGGTGAAGGCTTCTGGGAGTTTCAGTCCAAAAACACCTGAGTAACCCAAGGTTAAGAACCACTGCTTTAAACAATGTGTAATAACAAAAATGTAGAACGAAATTCACTCTTAACTCAAGTATACAGATTAATCACCATCCTTGGGATTTTTTTCTCATTTTAAAATTTAATCTTACAGTATTTTGTTTTATATCATGTGCCCCATCTCTTTCCAGAAATATGATTCTTGTGTTGGAGTTAACCTTTATGTTCACTAAATACATGCATTAAAAAGGCATTTGAAATCTCATTAAAACTATTTTCTTTCGATAATCCTTTTCTAACTTTCAATTTGCAGGTTAATTTATCATTAATAGTAAAATTCCACATTTAATTTTACTGTTTCTCTATATTAAACTGATTATCATTCTTCCAGTTCCTAGCAAATATCAGTCTTGCTGCTGTTAACATAATAATCATCAGTTCCATTTTTCCTTTCTAATTGACTGTTTCCAAATATATTTAACAAAGCTAATATTGGAAACCTTCATATATCCATCCCAATGATTTCTTCAATCTAATTAAAAACAATTGTCCATTCCTTCTGCCTGTATTGACATCTCCACCACATATGGTAATATGTTCCCCTTTCTTTCTTAAATCACCAACATGTCAATCAATCAATCAATCAATCAATGTTTATTTGCATTAGCCATATGCCATAGCAAAGTAAATATAAAATCTACAAAGATACAGAATCAACGCAACCAACATGTAGTTAATATCTCTGTATTCATTATATTCAGTTTCATTGGTGTTAAGTACCATTTCTATATTACTTTCTAACAATTTTCCTTTACCCTGATATATTTTCCATTATTCTTTTTCCCCAAAATCTTCCATATCTCCCCACTAATTTCTTTGTCTCCTTGCCATATCTCTTTCAGTGCTGTTATTTTACATTTGTCCTCTAATAACATTTTATATATTACACTTATTATCCTCTTTCTTTGTTTATTACCTTCCATCTTCTCAATTTTTAATTTTTTAAAAAATTTAGTCATCACCCTACATCCTCCTGCCTTTCCCCCCATTCCTGAGTCCAGTTATCTAACTGCATTACATTCAACCAGGTATTTCATTCTTGTCCTGGTAGCTCTTTTATTCTCCCTTTATTATAAATCTTCTTCATCCAGTTTTTAATTTTTGTAACTCCTTGCTCTAGCAAAACATTGTTTACTTTTCTCTTAAGACTTTTTTTTTGGAAAATTATGTAATTCCATCACATGAATCAATGGGGAAATCTTGGGACTCAATTTTCTCCTATATAATTCTTCCAGTGTTGCAACATATTACTTAAAAATGGACTATCTATATTTTTAATAACATCTTTTAGATTTTCCTTTAAAACATATTTTCCACACTATCCTGATTCTTATAAAACTCTTAAGTCACTCCATATGAGCTCTTTACTATTTATTATAATTTCTGGAATATGTCTCAATCGATTATCTATATAGGACAGTTTAATGTTTGCTAAAACCAAACTTCCTTTCTTTTGAGAAAAATACAATTTTTGTTGTTGTTGTGGGTTTTTTGGGCTCTTTGGCCATGTTTGGCCTGAAAAACCCACAACAACCATTAGATCCCAGCCGTGAAGGCCTTCACGAATAATTTTTTATTGTCACCCTTTTATTTTCATTGCAGTACAAATCAAATTCTGAAATTCTTTGAATTCCTTATCATCTATCTTCATGGGTAACATCCAAAAAAAATTCTTTTAAAGGGGATTATCTTCATTTTCACTATTGCTGTTCTTCCAAACCATAACTTCAACTTTTGCTATTCTTTGATTTGTTCCTTAATTGGTTCATTTTTATAATATCTTTAAAATTCCGAGTAAGATCTATCCCTTAATATCTGATGCTATTTTTAATTCACCCATAAACCTAACTCTCATTTCTCTCCTCTCTTTATTATCATAGTTGGCTAGCATAAATTCTGATCTGCTCCAGTTCACTCTTAACCCTATTACTTCCTCATACGTTTTTAAATGCACTTTAATATTTTCTATAGATGTTTTTGAATCTTTAATTGCTAATAAATTCACTCACTTTTTATTCTTTATTCTGTATTCCTTTTATTTCGGTATCTTCTCTAATTGTGTTTGTTAATAATTCTATTGTCAAAGTAAATAGAACTGGAGATAAGGGGCATCGACTTTTCTTGGCTTGCCTAAGGTAGCCCGTGCGAGAGAGCCGGAGGGAAAGTCTTGAGCGTTTAAGTCTCTCTTACAGCTTATTAGGCTCCGAACCGCCCTCTCACACCAGCCCTGTGTAGAGAGACCTGAACTCTGATCCTTGCACCTCCCGTGGCTGATCCCCTACCCTTTTCTTGTGTATGCTGCGATTTGGCATTCATGATTACTCTAAAAGTAAGCCGTCACAAGTTCAGCTGGGCTCACCTCGCAGCGTTTGCCATCTGTCAACGGCAGAGCGCGTCAGGGAAGGATGGCTTCCTTTCCTTTTAGAAAAATTAGCCGCACCTTGCAAGCGCCTACACTTAAAAAATAAATAAATAAATCCTCTCCTTCCCTTTTCTGTCGGAGGATTTCTGTCGCCCCTGCCAGCGATCACCTCCCCTTTAAGGCAGCCCAGCTCACCTGTAGGCGCAGCCCATTTACCTGGCCCAGGTGGCTGCCGAGAGCGATCGAAGGCGACGAGGAGGAAGCGGGCACAAGCAGTATGTCTGCCTCGGCAGTCTTCATCCTTGACCTGAAAGGCAAGGTGAGTCCAACCCTTCGGCCTCGAAGGGAGGTGCGTGAGCGTCGAGAGCTTCATATTGGGACTTAGTTGGTGAAGAACCGCCTCTAAAAGTGGAAAAGTTCCAGAAGTGACCCCCCTCCCCTCCCCCACCGTCCTTCTGCCTGCAGATCCGTGGATCAGATAGTCCAAAAATTCCCTCTACCTCAATCACTTTTTTGGAGAGAGGAAAAGAAGCCACCCACCCTGGCCCTGTCCTCCAACTACTAGGCCAGCTTTCCTCCTTTTATAAAAGTGACAGAACACGAGAAGAGCGGTGGCTGCCCCTGCTCCCTGTTGTCAGCTCCTCTTCCCTTTCCTCCCACAGTCCCTCCTCTGCTTCCATCTTTCTTAGGGCCAGGAGGTGAAACCCCCGATTCTTGTCCCCAGCAGGACTATTTCTGTCTTCCTGTCCTGCCTTGGAAATAATAATAATCACCATTGTTATCTTAGAACTGCAGAACTGGAAGGGCCCCTATTGATTTGAGTCCTGCCCCCCCACCCCCGTCAAGCAGGCAGTGTGGGGAATCGAACACCCAACCTCTGAAATGGGGCTTGAGATCCTCCCTCTCGGGGCCAGCATTAATTACCCTTTGGCTTTTCTTCTGCTAGAAGCAGAGGGGTGGGGAAAGAAGGAGGGAAAAGGCTTGGCCTTTTGCCTAAAGGAGGTATGTTTTCAGAGCAGCCTGCTGGCTTCCATCCTGCTGATGCTGGTCACAGCAGCCTGCTACACGGTGGAGCTTAAATGAGCCCAAAGAGCAGTTCCAGGCCTGTAACTTGAAGGATGTCATTGTCCAGGGCCCATCGGGGTTGAAAATGAGATTGAAAGCCCTTAAATCTTTAATGAAATCACAAAGTACACTTGGCTTCACCTTGTGCACACGGCTGACTTCTGGAGCTGACCATCACTGCTATAGGTGGCAGTGGACATGGAGTTTAAGAGCCACTGGACTCTAATTCACAGAGGCAAGAGCAGCCTCTAAGCCAGCCGAAGGTGAGCCGAGTAATCATGACTTTAGGGGCTGAGATGATGATGATGGTGTGAGAATAAGAAAAACATGCCCACAAGCAGACAGGATCTGTGGAGATTCCCATTCATTCCAAACTGGAATGGGGCATGTAATGCTTAGTAATCAGCTGTTTTCTGCATTGTTGTGATTTTGCTTAATGAGGACAACCATGACGACATAAACCAATACGTCTCCAGCTATATAACTTTGCTCTTTTTGAGCATGTAATGTTAGGGAAGCCATACGCTCGGCCTCAGTCTCTTCTCCCTACCCCAGTAAGTAGTTAGTAAGTGTACCTTTAAATGAGATGGTGTATGATGATGATGATGATGATGATGATGATATTGATTGATTGATTGATTGATTTTTACCCTGCCTATCTGGACCAATGGACCATGATCATGTGTTGGCAGCAGCAATGAGGAACATGCAGTCCGCCCATATGTTGTTGGCGTCTATTACCCATCAGCCCTGCTGGCCAGGAAGGCCATGGTTAGGATGACTGGAATGATAGTTCAGTGATATCTGGAGGTCTTCATATTCCCTACCCCAGCCTCACATTTTGACCCAGGTGTCAGTCATGTGCAACCAGCCTCACTCAACTGCCTGCCTCTTCCATAGCCACTGATCAGCCGCAACTATAAGGGCGATGTGAGCATGTCAGAAATCGACTACTTCATGCCACTCTTGATGCAGAAGGAGGAGGAATCTGCCCTGACACCACTCCTATCCCATGGGAAGGTCCACTTCCTCTGGATCAAGCACAGCAACCTCTACTGTATCCTTTCAGTGCCTAAGCAAAAGGAAGCACAGCGATGCGTCAACCTCGCCCAAGCAGCTACACTGATCAAAACTCCTATTTTGCTTACACCTGAAGAGCTGACTTACAGAAACGTTAGATCTTATGCAGATAGTCATCACTTAAAAATGGTGCAGATTTCTTCTCTGCTTTTGCACCAGTGCTTTTGTGCATCTGTTAGGCAACAGGAAAATGTCATTGGCCAAGGTGTGCAAATGAGTCCATGTTTGGCTATGGCACATGCAGGATTTCAAAGGAACTTTGCAGCAGCTGGTTGTGTTCTTAATACGTACATGGTTATTTCTTCCTTTCCCTAAAATGTTCTGTATTTTCACACATGCATCTGACCAAGTGTTTTTAAGGATCTTGGTCATTTATGGTTACCCAGAATCCATCCTTATGTTTTGTTTGTACAGAACCCGTGTTTATTTGAAACTTTGCATCTCCTTATATATTGGCTTTTAAGCCAACAGAAGGCTGGCAGCATTCGGGTACAGTAGGACTCGCTTATCCGCTAGGGATTGGTTCCAAGCCCCTACGGATACTGAAAACCACGCATAACAGTGAACCCTGTATATATAGCATGAAAAAGGGGAAAAACAGGAAAAAAATTATTTTCACTGTATTAACAGAACTGGACACAAGAGGGCACCAGGGACCATGCTATGTATTCTTCACTAACAAGTATTCATAGCATGGTTTCGGGCTCCCCCTAGTGCCTGGTTCTGATAATACATGTTAAAATAGTATTTTTCTGGATTTTTTTCTTTTAAAATTGTTAAAATTTTCACACCTTGGAAAAGTGAAACCGTGGCTACTGGTCCAATGTATATGGGGGTCCTACTGCATTTGCCAAATACCCAGCTTTCTTTGCTTGCTTTACCCTTCTTAGAGGGGACTGTGGTTTTATTCCTGTTTCAAAGGGTAGTTAATCTGAGTAGGGGACACCACCTTTTTTAGACTTCTGCCTTAGCCCCTCTGGTGCTGATCTTGAAAGTTATTGGTAAAAGAATTTACTCTATTATCACCCACAGGCCCCCAGAGAAACTCTGAAACATTCAACCCTATTGGAAACTGATTATGGGTTTCACTGAGGTGTTGGACATTCCTGCTGGACTTCTTGTCATCAGTGTCTAATTTACATTGCCTTTTGCTAAATCAGTCATACTGACCGTGCACCGGTAATCCTATCCTGGTCCAACTGTTGCTTTTACTTTGATACTCTGATTCTAGGCTCTTGCTCAGCTGTCTGACTTCCTCCCTTTCCCCCACCTTAAGAATGCTTGACAGGCAGAGTGACATCTGAACATCTGATATGCTATGTACTGACAACCCTAACCCACAGATTTCAGTTACTTGAATCTTTGCATGTCCAGTCCAGTTGCATCTAAATTATAGGGACTCTAATATGGCTTTCAAAGTAAGTGAGCTATTACAAGAGTTGTTTTACTGATCCCACCCACTGCTCATTAGGTTACCAAGTGTCCAGGTTATGGCTGGATCAGAGAGGCCCACACTAACCATTCAGACACACTGCTCAGATTTTCCTGGTGCGGGCAGATTCCAGGAGGGCCAAATGTACTGATGGCTGGGGAAAGTCTTCATGCCCTGTACTACCTTCCAACACAGTGAGTCACTCTAACTGCTCAGTGCTTCAGAGAGTTACAAAAAATTCACCAGGTTAAGTGTTTAAGCCTGCACTCCAATGCTGGTGGGTAGAAATACCAAAGGACCCACACAATATAAGGAATCCAGTTGGCGATCAAGACACCAACTGGATTTTTTTTACTATCAATTAATCCTCTTTTCTCAAAATAACCAAACTGCTGTATTTTTTATTTTATTTTACCGAAGTTGTTGCAAAAAGAAGTTAAAAGAATAAAGTTCCCGACCATTTCAAAATATAATTTTAAAAATTCAGAAGCAGTCAAAAGAGTTGTGGAGCAAATAAGCATTCGAAAGATCTCAGGGCAAAGAAACTCCAGAACGATTTAAACAGAAAATAAGAAAGCTAACTATCCTATGTTAATACTCATATTCTAGCAGAACTTTAGCATGGTTCCAGAGCATGTGCAGATAGATATCATGCAGCAGAAGAGCTGGTGAGCACAGCATTTTCCTGAGACAGACTAGGTTAAACTAAGCAAACCCTTTCCATTTATATACCCATAATTCCACTTTTTAGACCTTTGAAGGAAATTCACCAGTCAGACCTCAGATCGTCCCAAACTTTCTTAAAGGGGAGGGTAGCTTCTCCAAAGTAACTTTGCACTCTCCCGCTGCCTTCACTTCAGCTGAAACCAGCTTTGACAATTAGATTGTACCAGGACTGAGTTTTTGGCCTTGAAAATTTATTTTCATGCAGATAAGACACAGATGGCAAAGCTTGCCAGTTAATGGGAAAATTTCCTCCTTCTACTGGCCTGCTCATTCCACACACAAGCTAACAAGCCTGTTTTTCAAAGGACAACTGAAACCATCACCGCCTCATTTTCCAATGTCTTGACACCATGGCAGAGTGGTGATTTGAACTGAGGTCTTCTGAGTTCTAGTCTGACACTACCCACTACACCACACCAGGTGCCATTGTTGCATACATATGCTATATACATCTTACAGTAAAGCAAAGATTTTAAGTCCTAAATTCAATCAGAAATAAAGACAAGAGAGGAAAAGGTCTCTTTCCTTTAGGGCAGTTGTTCCCAGCCGTGGGTTCTCAGTAGTTTTTGGACTACAAATCCCAGAAGTCCTGGCTAACACAGCTAGTGGTGAAGGCTTCTGGGAATTTTAGTCCAATAATATTTGGGGACACTGCGTTGGGAACAACTGCCTTAGGGGAAGAATGAGCATGAACCAAAGACTTTTCATTAGAGAGGGTTGTTCTCCTGAAATAGAGCTGCAGTTCTAGAAAGTGAAATGAAAACTGCTCTGAAAGCATTAGGAAAAGGTTTCCCTTGACATTTAGTCCAGTCGTGTCCGACTCTAGGGGGCGGTGCTCATCCCTGTCTCCAAGCCATAGAGCCAGCATTTGTCCGTAGACAGTTTCCGTGGTCACGTGGCCAGCACGACTGGACACAGAACGCCGTTACCTTCCCAATGTGGTGGTACTGATTTATCTATTTGCATTTGCATACTTCCGAATTGCTAGGTTGGCAGGAGCAGGGACAAGCAATGAGAGCTCACTTCATTGTGTGGATTCAATCATATGACTGCTGGTCTTCTGACCTTGCAGCACAGAGGCTTCTGTGGTTTAACCCGCAGCGTCACCACATCCCTACCTGAAAGCATTAGGAAGTAATAAATCACCAGAGGTAGATGGTATACTGATAGATCTGTTCAAGCCACAGAGAATGAATCTGCAAAATTCTAATAAAATATGTCAGCAAATATGTCAACAATATGTCAAAAACAACGGCTAACATACTGGAAACACTCAATATACATTCCAATCCTTAAGAAAGGAAAAGCCAAGGACTGCAGTAACTACAGGATCATTGCTTTCATTTCTCATTCAAGTAAAGTGATGCTCAAAGTATTTCAACAAAGGTCTTTACCTTATAAGGAGTGAGAAATGCCTGATGTCTAAGCTGAAGGAAGAGGCACTCAAGATCACATTGCAAATATCTGCTGGCTCCTGGAGAGCACTAAAGAATGTTAGAAGATCAGTCTAGGTTTTATAGTTCAAGGCTGTGGCCAGAAAAAGGAAGTGGCAAACCACTTATGAACACTTTTTATGTAGAAAACCCTGAAAAGAATAGCCACAAGTCAGAATTAAAAATAGGCACAGGTAGGAAATGGGTCACCACACCACCTACAGGTTACAATGGTTATTCATCATTTCAGTCAAGAACAAAGCAGAAAGGTTTGTACTACAGATGTCTTTGTGGAAATGCCTCCATTCTTGTAATAGTGTAGCTACTGATTCTGGTGAAAAGACAAGACAACAACAGTTACATGCATACCTACCACATGTATTTATTTATTTATTATAGCATTTTTACCCCACCTTTCTCCTCCAAAAGGATCCAAGGTGGGTCCTTTAAAGACAATATTTAAAGCCAAAAACATACACAATACTAAAAAGGATCTAAGAAATACCACTCTGAGAAATGGTAAACCAAAGCAATCCTGAAAACACATTCAAATCCTTTATTTTTTAAGGAAATAAAATAAGTTGACATTTATTTACTTTGAAGGAACCACAAGATATTCTTGCTTCCTGAAAAGAATTTTGCACTCTTTTAAGTGGTATTGGTCAAGTCAAATCCCGGAGAGATTTATTCTTCATTAATTTTTCCCTATATTCCAAGTTTGTGGTAGTTTTGCTCCCATGTTAATTAATTATAGAGATCTTCTCTTGTCCTGAATTCACAGCACAATGAATTCACAGTAACATCCCCAGTATGAAGAGAGAATAAACATATTTTTTCTACCCACTCTCTCCACATCATTCATTTTATATGATGAGGATGTTGTGTTGAGGCCTTTCTCACCGAAAATTATAGAAAATACATAGCAATATAATATGTCTTTCTGATAAGCTATAACTCCTAAAACTGAATATTTAATCATCATCATCATCTTAGAACTGCAGAGCTGGAAGGGACCCTATTGATCATTGAGTCCAGCCCTTGTCAAGGAGGCACAATGAGGAACTGAACTCACAACCTCTGACTCCACAACCAGATATGCTAGCATAAATTTAAGTGATGATTGGTCACTATTTAAGAAATCAGTGTTTCCATTTTTTATCATGTGCCAATTCACACAATTGGTGTGTGAAAAGAAATAAAACCACTGACCTCTGAACTAGTGACAATTTTCCACTGAGACATATGATATTCATCTTACACCAGTTATAGGATTCTGACCTCTACACGTGCCATATAATCCCAGTTATTCCGATTGTAAGAAAAGCTGAAAATCGCTGATTGTGTTCACAATTCCATTCAAATGAATGAAGTCAATCTGTACTCCTGAATTATAGAATGAAATTTGGCATAGCCCAACAGATGTTATTGGGTGGAAACGCATGAGAGATCTTCCAGTGACTGCGTGTAAAATAGACTTAAACATGTGGATACAAGAGATAAAATTAGGTTGGAGAAGTTCTGTTGCCTCTTCAGACTTGGTCTTGAGAACAAGGGAACTTCAACTAAAAGTATTGAACCCGCAAACAAATGTAAGTGCTGCATTTTGCAAGAATCCGTCTATATGCTTTCCTGTGGCAAATGGAGAGCATGAAGTGGACCTGCAAAGGGTGCAGCTACTGCTGCACTGTTCAGGAAAATGAAACTTGCAGAACACAAAAACTTACTGTACACACAGGCTGGAATGTTGAGCCATGGATGCCCTTCTGCCCCTTTAGACATGCATTAGTCTTCTCTGCTGTCTTCAGCTGTTGCTTTCTGTCTCCTTAGCCAACATACATAGGGGCAAGGTGTGGGGGGGGGAGAGAATTCCCTGGAGTAGTGATGGTGAACCTATGACATGCAGAGCCCTCTCTGTGGGCATGTGAGCCATAAGTCACAATCGACAAATACCCATCCTCTGATCTCAGATTTTGGCACTCCCCTCTGCTGGTGCAGTGGTCAAGCAGAAGGGTGCAATGGCGGCCATTATTTCTCTGTCCCTAGGGGGGAAACGACAACCACCAAGCATTTAACCCTTGGAGAGCAGGGGCAGTTGTTTTTTCTAAACTAAAACTTCAGTATTCAGGTTTAAATTGCAGTGTTGGCTCTTTGAAATAAACAAGTTGGTTTTGTGTTGCAGTTTGGGCACTCGGGCTCAAAAAGATTTGGCATCATTGCCCTAGAACGTGGGTCTCTAGCCCAGCACCCTGAGGGCTTTTCTTTTTCCTTATCAATGCCTGTACCTTTTATGTAGTGGTGGCCCTCACCATGAAGAATGCGAATGCCTCGCTGGTGTATTCATTTCTTTACAAAGTGGTAGAGGTAAGTAGTCACTGGCTGGGATTCAGGAGGAAACGAGGTAGGTCAAGCGCTTTATACCTTGGAACCAAAAAAGTGAGGGGCTGGCTATCCTGTGTAGGGATGAAAAAGTCTACAAGATCATTTATATATGTAGCATTTAACACTATATACATTGCAGAAGATGAATAACTTAACCAATGCAATTTGTTGGAGGTGTGGTCAAGAAGAAGCAAAATTTGGACATGTATGAAAACGCATAAAATGTTTTTGTCTGAGACAGTGCAGAACATTTTAAGGATATAAATTACCAATGAATCCAGTGTTCGTATTACTGGGCAATTTAAATGGATTGGTAGACTCTAAAGTTCAAAGGATGATTACAGATGGTTGATCTGAGCTTGAATATTAACAACAGAATATTGGGGGGGGGGGAAGCAAGAAGTGTCATCCCTAAAAGAATGGGGTAACAACATTTGCCACAGAATATTATTTATTTATTTAACTTCTATGCTGACCCTCTTAGTGACTCCCACTGCTCTGGGCCGTTTGCAAAATCGACTAGTGAGCCCCCACTCAACACCCAAACACCACCCACATACAAGCTGAAACAATTTGGAGATAACCAACGAATAAAAAAACAAATTTCAAAATGAAAGTACACAGTAGCAGGGGTTATGTTTTTGAAGGCCACTTTATAAAGTTCTGTCTGTAGCAGTTTCCTTTAAGTCAGGGGGACAGAGCCAGCCTGGTGAACCTCGGATGAAACTTTGTTCTACAGAGTAGGAGCCACCACGGAGAAGGCCTTGTGACAAACCCAGACCTACGGCAGTTTCCTTTAAGTCAGGGGGAAGAGCCGGCCTGGTGAACCTTGGATGAAACTTTGTTCTACAGAGTAGGGGCCACCACGGAGAAGGCCTGATTTCTCATTGTTGTCTTTTTGGCCTCTCTCAGCGTAGCCACTCTTAACATTGTGGTTTGGGAGGAGTGCGTCAAATGGGCAATTGTTTTAATATCAAGGTCCTAAAGCATTAAGGGCTGGATATTACTGAATAAGAGTTCATAAGCTTTCAAAAGGCCAGGTTACAGCACAAAAAAGAATAATGATTGTTTAGAATATTGGTATAAATGTATACATTACTGGAAACTGTATTACAACTAAGAATATAAATAAGTCAGAGTTAATATGAAAAGGGTGAACTTTGTATGTATTTAACCTCTTTGGTTTCAGTGGAATTGCATATGTTTTGTTCTGTTTTTTTTTTACTGTTCAGACATCTTCAGGAAAATATATTTTATACTTACTTACTTTAGAGAACTAGGAGAATTGTAATGGTGATGTTGATAATATATTAGCATAGACTTAAAGCAGATCAAATATTTAAGAGACAATGAATACAAAGATATTTACCTGGCACTGTCTAGATATCAGAACACTTTAAATATACAAATCTTATTACAGAAAAGCAAAGCAAAACAGAGCGAGGCTATTTATTTATTTATTTATGCTAGTCAGTGAGAAAGTGGATGGAGAGTCAAAATCCATAGCTAGGCAATTTGTTAATATTTTTTAAAGGACAAGCTTCTGAATTGCTGAGACTTCATCAGCAGGTTCAGTGGTGCTGAAAGCAAACAAAAGTGAAAAGAAACACACACACACACCAAAATCTGATCAGGTGTGGAGGCCACAATATCTGTGGTTTAGACTCAATGTAAAACTGACGTTTTACAGACTGAGTGAATCGCAGATACTGTATCTGGTTTGTTAGCTCCCAATTGCCCCAAAATAGATTTTCTACCACATCTGCATTTTATTCCAGTTGCAGAATTTGGCTATTAGGGCTGCAGAATTTCAAGACTTTTGCCATGAGAATATGATGATACCTTCAACCTTTCAGTACTTTGTTTCATAATAAAATGTCAAAAGGCCATGTTACAACAGTATTACTGAGTAAGTTGTCAGACCGTTTCTTCATACTGAAGTCCAGCTGGGGAATTTTTCTGTTCTCTGCTTGTCAGGTCTTTACGGAATACTTCAAGGAGCTGGAGGAAGAGAGCATTCGTGACAATTTTGTTATTGTGTATGAACTACTGGATGAGCTGATGGACTTTGGGTTTCCCCAGACAACCGACAGTAAAATTTTGCAGGAGTGAGTCACTCGGCCGCCTTATTTGCCCCCATGACTTTTATCTGCTTTTCTGCCACCATGCAAATCACTTGGCATGATCTGAAAACTACACCCACAGGAATCTGGGTGGAACAAAATGTTTCAGGAGGCATAAAATCCCTGTATCTGAATTTAGTTGTTTCAGTATCTACTTTGGTGAGAACATTTTGAGGGTCTCCTTATGTTGTGAAGCTACTTGGGTAGCTCAGTGAGGTGGGCATCTGGCTGTGGAGCTAGAAGTTGGGTATTTGATTCCTCATTTTGCCCGCCAGGAGAAGAAACAGCCTGTGCAGCCTTGGGCAATGTGTACAGCTCCAGAAGTGTCCCCAGAAGAAAGAAATGGTGAATCACTTCTGAATACTTAATTCCTAAAAATGCTGGAAAAGGTTACCACAAGTCAAAATTGACTTGATTCTACATAATAATTATAATGTTTAGAAGTGTTACATAAAAATGGTATGCCAATGGTAGGAATTGACACTGAGGCCCAGCAGTAAAATGCTGGCTGAGGGATTGTGTGAGCTGTAGTCCAAAATGTAACTTTTTTGAGGTCTGTGTGTACCATGACCTTTATGCCAGCCAACATCAAGTTTTGTTGATACTCTGTTTCTTTACTAGTGTGTTTCCCCGAAAATAAGACAGGGTCTTATACTTTATTAATTTTTGCTCCAAAAATGCATTAGGGCTTATTTGGGGGGGATGTTTTGGTTTTTTTTCATGTACAACAATCTATGTTTATTCAAATATACTGTAGTCACATCTTCTTCTTCTGGTTGCTGCACAACGGAGAAGGGTGGGCTTTCACTCAACTGGGCTTATTTTGGGGTTAGGGCTTATATTACGAGCATCCTGAAAAATCATACTAGGGCTTATTTTCAGGTTAGGTCTCATTTTCAGGGAAATAGGGTAGCACTAGATGAACAAAAGTGCCCTGCCATGTTAGGTGGAAGTGCAGGTGGGACACCTTGCTAGGAAGAAGAGGAAACTGTCCTTCAGGAGGTGGCTCTAGATCTTAAATAAAACAAACAAATAAAAATCGAACTTGCTGTTGCTCTTTCTCATCCCATCACAGGTACATCACTCAGCAGGGCAACAAGCTGGACACACACAAATCCTCTGTTCCAGCCACTGTCACCAATGCAGTCTCCTGGAGATCAGAAGGTATCAAATATAAGAAGAATGAAGTCTTCATAGATGTCATTGAATCTGTCAATCTGCTGGTGAGTTAGCACGGGGGTCCAGCAGGCTTACCTGTGGCCAGAGGTAATAAGATATATGAGGGGGATTTGTAGAGGCCCAGGCAATAACCAAGAAATACAACGTTGTCATTTTCTGGTCTGGTCACAGTCAGACAAATCCTCTGCCCTATCTTGTTTAAGTGTACAGTTGTAGTAAAGTGAATAGGCACGTATAGAAAACTCTATATAAATATACATGCATATAGTGTTGTCATCAGTGTGGCCTCTAAATCCTTCCGGTCTGAAGAGGAACAAAGGGGGAGGGGAGCCACTCCAGCCAGCAAGCCTTTGAACCTTCACCCCCCTCCCACCACCACCAGGCCCTTTCCTCCAGTGTCCCACCACCCACTTTCCGGGGCAGAGGCGTGTGCAAGTAAGAGACAAGTGTGTTTGCTTCAACCTCCTCTCTCTTGTTCACCCATCCAGTATGAGCAGACCATCTCTGCCGGCTTGCTTGCTTGCCTTCCCTAGATGGTGCACCCTGTAGCATTGGTCACTGGAGGAAGCAGCCATGATGCCCTGTCATGCACTGATCTGCATCTTCCTCTGCCTTGTCCCTTCCCAGTAGTTCCATTCTACCCCCTCTAAGGAGAAAAGTGAGTTAGCAGAAAAACTGGAAGCTGATCTTCCAAAAAAAGTGGCCACTTTCCACTTAGCAGTGGCAGAGAAGTGAGCAGGCCACCACCTCCATTTGCTCCAAGATGACCCCCACCAATCTTTCCTGCTGCATTGTCCATAGAGAAAGAGAGTAGAGAATGTTGCAAAGCGAGGGGACAGGTGAAGTTCCAGATGAGGATTTTATCCTGCTATTTCCAGGCCTCATTCAAAGACATTGTCATTGTCCTCTCATAAACCTCCCTTACCCTGTTCTTCTAGCTTTCTTCTTTCCATGGTGAATCCGCTAAGGATAGGGTTGCCAGATACATGGGCACCAAAAGGAGGACATCGAAAGACAAAAAAAGAGGACAGAGGAGGACATATTGAATGTTTAATTTCAATCGTTCTGGATGAAATCCACAATCAATACAACTTATTACAATAACTGCCAATAAATGTCTCTTAGTGGACCGACCAAGAAACAGTCATGTTAAAAAATAAATATTATATCACCAACAAAGTTAAAATAGAGCAACTAGTATTATTAGGCTGCCAGCTTGCACAAAAATATATTCCTTTAAAAATATAATCTCCCTGCTTAGACACTCCAGAAGTTGCTCTACAGTCCCCCATTAGCAGATTTTGGGGGGAAAATTATTTACTTTAATGTTGGCATAACGGATGTTGGATTTCAACACCATCCGGAAGGCCACAGGTTCCCAAGCTCTGAAAGACACCTTTCTCTTCAGAACCACTCCTTTGGTTCACAAAAGCTGCTGCTGAAGGAGGGAGCCAACTCTAAAGAGCGCCGCTGCCCCTCCCCATTTCTTACCTGACCTGAGCAACTGGTATCAGCCTCCTTCCTAGCAACGGGGGAGACGAAGAACGAAACAGGTGCCCTGTGATCACAGGACTTTTGCCCGTTAAAAAAAAAAAGACTATGGCGTGATTCCATGATGGGTTCAGTTCCGTCCTTACAAAACAATTCTTCATTACGGTGTCCCCTTAGTTCCAAACCATCTGTTTTTCCTCGGGTAAGACAAAGAGGAGTAGGAGTAGGAGGAAGGCCATGGAGACAAAAGCTGGACATTTTAAAGGTTTTTAGTTTTGCCTGCTGGATGGAGAACATTAGGCTAAAAAGGAGGACATGTCCTCCTTTTGCCGGACATCTGGCACAAGGAGAAAAACAGTGAATAGCTGCACAGAAATGCTTTCTAATTGCCAACAACTGTCTTATCATGGGAAAGGAGAAGCCACACTTCTTGTGGGAGACGGGTGACACACACATACACACCCCAGGCACAAAACATGCTCTTGTGTTTTTGTTTGATTTGTTTTTGTTTTTTCAGGTCAATGCTAATGGAAATGTCCAAGGAGAAAAACAGTGAATAGCTGCACAGAAATGCTTTCTAATTGCCAACAACTGTCTTATCATGGGAAAGGAGAAGCCACACTTCTTGTGGGAGACGGGTGACACACACATACACACCCCAGGCACAAAACATGCTCTTGTGTTTTTGTTTGATTTGTTTTTGTTTTTTCAGGTCAATGCTAATGGAAATGTCCTCCTGAGTGAATTGTTTGATTGATTTGTTTTTGTTATTTTCAGGTCAATGCTAATGGAAATGTCCTGCTGAGTGAGATTGTGGGCTCAATCAAGCTGAAAGTCTTCCTCTCAGGCATGCCAGAACTGCGCTTGGGCCTTAATGACAGGGTGCTCTTTGAAATCACAGGACGTAAGTAACTCGGGATGCTGAAGAGCATCCAGGGGTGGACTGGCCGGCAAGAGCAGATCTTGTCTTAAAGAAGCACCAGGCCTGGCTGGCAGCAGACATGACAGGGGGAGATTATTAGGGGTTTACATCATGTTGGGGATTTTCAATTTGTTTGTTATCAGCTGTCAAGGGACTTCTAATTTATGGTGACTTTAATAAGGTTTTTCAGGTATGTGAAATATTCAAGGAGTGGAATTACTATTGCTACACCCCCATGAGTTTCTGTGTCTGAGAGGGGATTTGAATCCAGGTCTCCTGAGGCATCCTGACACCATCCATTACATCATACTGGCTGCCAGTGATCTGAGTTCAGGAGCCTAATTTTAAACATTAGTGTCAAATTTATGATAAAGATGAGAGCTTCTAAGCATCTCCTCAAATCTGGGACATCAGAGCTGCTTCCAGACATTTAGGGTTAAGAGCAAAATATCCAGATCATCTGTTTAACTTTCTTAAACTTTTAGTTGAGATCTTGTATAATGGGGGGGGGGGAGAGAGAAGGAAAGTACCCCTGTTTTCTCCCCCCCCTCCAAATATATGTTATAACTGAGCACACTTTTATTACATCTCATTCCTAGGCTTCTGTATTTTGAAGCTGAGAACTCTAATTTTTTTATGTCTTGTTTGTCACACAAGGATGGCAATTATTTCTTAGCCACGAAAGGCATTTCTCAGCCATAAATGTGATAGCTGTAGCTCTCTGAGAGCCTAAGCTTCATTTTCCCCCTTGTGACAACTGCCACTTTTTCTTCTAGGTGGAAAAAATAAGTCTGTGGAACTGGAAGATGTGAAGTTCCACCAGTGTGTGCGACTGTCTCGTTTTGACAATGACCGCACCATTTCCTTCATCCCACCAGATGGAGATTTTGAGCTCATGTCCTATCGATTGAACACACAGGTACGTCTTGGATTCTAGCTCTAGCAAAGGCTGTGCTAGGATGATCCAATGCTTCCTTCTGCCCTGGGGGCGGGGGGGACAGAGGTATATCCTGTGTTTATGGATTCGAGGTAGCAGTTGCTACCTGATTTCCTTAGACTGCCTTCTTCTTCATGATGTACAATCCCTTGGGCCACTAGAGATGACACTGTCTCTTGAAAGAAGGACAGCAGGAAATGTGTCCAGCTAGTTTAATGATCTACTTCTTTGTTTTGGAAGCATGTGATATTGAGTCACAGCTATGGGCGGCTGACTCTGCAGGGGTGAGAAGTTCCCATATATTGAGACATCTTCACTCTACGACCATAATGGATCAACAACAATCAGACAATGGGCAGCCCTTCCTATGTTTGTATGTTTCTCTCTAGTAGTTTATCACCATTGGCCGTGTTGGCTACAACCGATAGAAGTTATAGTGCAAGAATATCTGTAACTCTTGTATATAATGTTGAACAATCATCTCGTACACTTCAAGCACTTTGCAAATATTTCCCCCTTTCTGAATCTCTATTCCTCACATGAATCTAAATAAAACCCGACACTGCTTAGGGCTAATAGTCCGAGGCAGACCACAAAGGAGAAAGCAAGTTCAAGATGCCTTTCCTTCTCTCAGACGTGTTCTTGCCTTCTATTGACTTAATATTTGTGGAAGAGAAAGAACTGTGATTTTCACCGAGTTCAGGCCTTTAAAATGCTTCAGATTCATGTCTTTTCTCTTAGGTTCTAGATGGCGGATCTCAGGATTTTTGAAAAGAAAGCTAAAGTCTGCCCAGTTCTTCTCTAATCTCTGGTATTTTCTTTCTTTAGGTGAAACCTCTCATCTGGATTGAGTCTGTCATTGAGAAGTTCTCTCATAGCCGAGTGGAGATCATGGTTAAGGTGAATTGCTTTAAAAGATAAGAACACGGGAAGCTCCTGTAAACGGAGTCAAACCACTAGTGGTGGCTTAGCCCAGGCTTGTTGAAATTGATTGGAGGTGACTCTCCAGAGTTGTAGATAAGATTCTAGTTTCCTTGCCCTACTTCTCCAAGAGGTTTTAACTTGGGACCTTCTGTATGCAAAGCAAGGAAGGGCTCTGCTAATAAGCCAAAGCCCCCCTCCTGCCTCCAGATATCATAGGGGCTGTGCAATAAAGCAAAACAACAAAACCCCAGACCAGCTTCAGATAAAGTGAGTTCATGATTCTTGAATATTTGTTGCCATAGATTTTGTTTATACTGAGGGATAACTCAAACTAATCAAAAGCCTCAAGTTTATCTATGTATATGTGGAGCATGCAGGTTCTTTTGGGCAATGAACAGACAATAAGAGTGAAAGCGGTTCTGAGCTCCGAGCCACCTTCATGTTAGAGCTCAAACTTTGCACGACTGCTTTAGCTGTCTTTCCTGTCCAAAAGAATCTTTGAGCCTGAACAGACAGGGGAATTTGGAATGGTCTGCTTTTGCACTTAAAAGGTTATCTTCAGTCTGGTATATTTTATCTCTCGCTTCTGTTCACCTTTGAGATTTTCTTTTCCCATGAGAAGGGTCCACACAGGTCTTTGGACTGCAAGTATATTCATGAGCAAGGTTTACCTGTGAGGAAGGAGGTAGATGCAACAGCAGCCGAGGAGTGCGGTGGTGTGAAGGGAAAACATTGGGGTGAAAGTTGGGAGAGATGGAAAGCAGAGGACCCCCTTTCCCCCACATTTACTCCTCAGTTGGGGTTCTCCTGGGGCTGCGCTGCCTTGTGGAGGTGGAGCCCATGGAGTCAACACAGACCCCTTCCCCACCTAGTCTCATGGCTATCATTCAGTGGACCACAGTGACGTTTCTTTTTTGTTGTTCAATAAAGTTAGTGGCATATCAAAACAGCAATGCTTCTACCCTAGCATGGTATTAGAATTGCGCTATGTCACTTAGGGAAATATTTCAAAAAGATGAGAATAGTTGATTTCTCCATTTGTTCTTTTAATGTCACAACCCACGTACAGTATTACATCACAGAGTTGTCACCTTAGATAACACCATCCACAGCTCCATTTGAATGTGAAATAACCAACCGTACAGGGTATGCAAAGGTATAATCAGGAGTGTGCTGAATTATACCCAAAATAAAAAACAAAAAACCACAGAAGCCTCAAGCACTGTTGTCAGAAAAGAGCAGGACAGCTTTTTAAAAGCAGGATGGAACCATCTAAGTAGAAGGACGTGTGGATGTCGTAATTTCATTCAAACCAAGCCGTACAAAGATCTATCTATATACCTGTCTGAAAATGGCCCTTAGTTAGGAAGGTACAAACGTGAACAGTCCTAGATCTCTCTTCCTGCTTTCTTCTCTGAAAGGCAAAGGGCCAGTTCAAGAAGCAATCTGTGGCCAATGGTGTGGAGATCTGTGTGCCGGTCCCAAGTGATGCTGATTCGCCCAAGTTCAAGACCAGCATTGGCAGTGCAAAATACTTTCCCGAAAAGGACATGGTCATCTGGAGCATCAAATCGTTCCCGGTGAGAGGGATGCCCCCTTCCTTTTCCTTCATATAGCCCTGAATCTTATAGATCATTCGTACATCGCAGTCAGCTGGAGGTTTGTCAATCTCTGCAGTAAGATTTGACATAACTCTCAAACTCTTCAGCTGCATTTGGGATGGAGTAAGAGGACTATGCTGGTCCTCTTCCGAGTCTGCTGGTGCTTCTGAGGGAGGACCGTGGTTTTGCACTGGTCCAGAATTTCCACTGATAAGGCTGCTATAAATGTGTAGTGAGCCCCTCCCCTGGATCCTAGTTAGAGCTTGAAGAAATGTGAGATTTGCAGTGACTCCCAAATATTCTGAAAGTGGATTTTCTTGCCTCTGTTCTCTTGCTATGGATGATCCTGCCACCCAGTCCATTTATACCTCCTTGTCATATGTGTGTGCTCGTGGTGATGGTCCCCACACCTAATGCCCTGTCCTTTTTTCCATTTGGTGTTGCAGGGTGGCAAGGAATACTTGATGAGAGCCCACTTTGGGTTGCCCAGTGTTGAAAATGAGGAGATGGAGGGCCGGCCACCCATCTCTGTCCGGTTTGAGATTCCATACTTCACAGTCTCTGGAATTCAGGTGAGTTATATGTGATTAAAGGAAAGGGGAGGGAATGATGACCCACTGTGAGTGCAGGAACCCCATCCTCTGAGTTAAGGATGGGAGTGTCAGCTACACAATGCCCTTCTTCTTCCGACCGCAAAGGCAAAAAAAGGGTGTCTGCAGTCTCTTTCATATGGTGCCTCTTTTATTTTGCCTGCCGTCAGGATCCCTCTGAGTCTGCTCCGTTTGTGATTCAGCCTTCCCTTTTGAAACCCCCCCCATCCTCTGCCAGTTTACTCCCTGATCAGGCTGTCTTCCTTTATGAGTCTTAGAACATTGCCTTACTTGCTTCCTCTAGTTTTCTGACTGGCAGCAGTTCTATGGCATTTCAAGGGGGAACCTTTCCACAAAATGCCCAGGTTTGAACCTGGCACCCTTTGCAATACAAAGCAGGTGTCCCACCACTGAACCACGGCCCTTCTCTTTCTTTGAGACATTTTATAATCTCTTAATGTTGTTTCACAGAAGCTTGTGGTGGGCATGCATGCATTCTAGTGCAGGATCTGTCCAGTGCAGGGAAAAAAATTCTTTGGGAGCCTTGCTTTTCTTTCATTTTCTGTTTTGGCATCACCCTTCAACTCAGGTGCGCTATATGAAGATAATTGAGAAGAGCGGGTACCAGGCTCTGCCGTGGGTCCGTTACATCACCCAGAGTGGAGGTAGGTTGTCAACCAGGTTGTAAGGAGCTTGCATTGGGTGTAGAGAGACTGGCTTTTGTTTCCAGCCACAGATTGAGACCTTCTCTGTCCTGCTGCTTTTGAGGAACAAGGTAAAGGTAAAGGTAAAGGTTCCCCTTGACATTTTTTGTCCAGTCATGTTCGACTCTAGGGGGCGGTGCTCATCCCCGTTTCCAAGCCATAGAGCCAGCGTTTTGTCCGAAGACAATCTTCCGTGGTCACATGGCCAGTGCGACTTAGACACGGAACGCTGTTACCTTCCCACCGATGTGGTCCCTATTTATTTACTTGCATTTGCATGCTTTCGAACTGCTAGGTTGGCGGGAACAAACAAACCAAATAATAAACAAACAAAAAACAGAAACTCTAACTGAACTGAGAAAAATTGCTTCTTTGGACTGCAATTCTACAAATTGTCGAGTTACGACGGTGGCCATCTCCGTTGGGAAATTTTGAGAATTGTAATCCAAGGAAGTAACTTCAATAAATTCTGTGGGCAAGTGAGATTCCCTCTGCAAAATTGGATAGGATTCACTTTTGAGTAAACATGAGTTTATAAAGTCCCGTTGCAATCCCGTCGCTACAGAGGTTGTTACGGCTCAAATGTATGGTCTTGTCCTCCGCTCTGCTCTGGTTCATTAACTTTTCCTGAGTATTTCTGTTACACAGCAGTGTGGCTGTCATAAAACATGAAAATGCAACACCTGTATTTCATAATGAGGGATTTTTAACAATAAAGTGCATGTGGATCTTTTCCCCTGAAAAATATGGACTAGAAACATGAAATAAGTCTGGAGAACAAATGACAGAGTCTTATGAAAAAGATCTTGTAATCATCAGTGCTACATTCAAATTGTTACCAAGCACAGAGTGCCTGTGAAAATTCCCACAAGACGGCACTAACAGCACTGTAAGAAATCCTGTGAATTATATCCTAGGTGATTAGAGATAGCAGAACAGCATTAAGTTGGTGAAAATTTATTCTAGAGCTGAAGTAAATTCAGTTTATAATCCTGCTATCACTATAGTTCACCTCCAATGAAAGAAATTAATTATTAAAAATACAGGAAAATTCCCACATACATTAAACAACTAAGTAATCAACAGTATAGAATTTACAGAATTTGCCAAAAAGTGGAAAGAAAAATCAGAAGACATGCAGTTTGGATTCAAAGGACAATTTGGATCCATACGTACCAGGATGTGGATAGGGTTGCTTTACTGATGAGAAAGCCTTGGAGAAAATCCAACATGGCAAGCGGATGGAATTGTTGGCAAACAAAGATCTTGATTCAGCAGATATTCAAATGACTGGCAACCTGTACTGACAATAAAAAGCTGTAGAAGAAGTTGAAATCACACGAGAGAGAGAATGTAGAGACGCCAAGAGGAATTCAACAAGGAGGCATGCTTTTATCGCTACTTTTCAGTTTGTACTGCAAGAATGTAGAGAAGCACTTCCTGATGGATATTGGTGTCGTTGCCAAGAGAAAGGTTATCAACAATATCTCGTATTCAGGACAATAGTTATTACGAAGCTCACAATTCAGATAGTCTGCAAAGATTGCTCAGTAAAACAAATGAAATAATGAACATGATCTAACAGGCCACTGAAATAAAAGAGAGGGAGCTGTGTGGCCAGTACGAAATCCAAATTCAAGAATAGGCAATACCTTTATAGACCACTAATTAAAAAATTTTAAAAACCATACAATATGCAAGCTTTTGTGGGTAAATCCCACTTTTTCAGTGCCATGTATCCTCAATGTTGTTTTGCATAGCAGAAGTGTAGACACAGTTTTTAAAACAGAAAGCACTTGAATAGTGGATATATGATATGAGTGCTAATTTCATTGACTGAGAAGATGACCAGTGACATGGTAAACAAATTACTCATGACCAAGGAATCATAAACGATATAAAATGCAGAGAGCTAGAATACTTGGGAAGTGCAATAAGAACAAGTTCAGATTCTTACAGTTGGCCGTTCATTCATGATTAATTAAATGGGAAAGAAATGCAGGAAAGATCATAGGAGACTAGCCCGCATGTGGTGTATCATCATTATTTAGGGCTGTTATACATAGCATAGCCTCTTTTAGGAGAGGAACAAGATATAGTGGCTGGACTTAATGATACCAAATGGTTTGCTACTGTCTTATGCTATCCTTTGCCAAATTAGCCCGACCTGTCTGTGTTGCTGTCCCCTCCATTCAGATGTAGAAGAAAATACACTGGCTGGTTGATGGTGGTGAACCAATGTAACCTAGGAGACTAACTCTGGAACCCAATTTGAGCTATAGCTGGCTGCTTCCCAGTTTGCATCTCAGCCAATTTCTCCATTTCCTGCAATTATTTTTATTTCACACTATATACACAGAAAGTACTAAGGACTACATGGTCCTTATCAATCAATAAAATATTTCCTCACTCACCAGAGCAAAGGTTCTGCATTCTGTTTTCAGATATTCACAGCCACCACCCGAAAGGCCTTACTAGTGTGAACCAGAATTTGGAAAGGTTACTTTTTTGGCAATTACTCTAGCATCTCATCTCCAATCACTAGGTATGCTGCCTTGAGGGTTCTGAGAATTTTTGTCTGAAAAGCAAACTTTTCCATGTTGTTAGCAAATTTGCTGTCCAGAGTGCTGAGTCTATTTGTTGCAAGGTGCATAAACTAGAGGCTGCCATCATCTACTGAGGCAATGGCTGAAATCCTGTTGCTTTGTTACATGCGCAGAAGGCAGGGAACATAATGTTTCAGTTGCTTCTAGCTTGCTGTGAACAAGCTGGTACTGGGATTCTCAGGGGCGCGCTTGGTGCACACTTGAAAATCCCAGTGGGGACTCATTAACTGCCAACTAGAAGCAACTGAATGTTACATAGTTTGCCCTCCACATGCATAACAAAGCAACAGTATATCAGGCAATACCTTGCATGAAGAAATGTCTAAACTCATTCCTACAAGAGAACCTCAAATTACACTAAGAGGATTACTAAGGCAAGGTTTCCTTCACAGAAGCAATCCTGTTTCTTTTTCAGGAAGGCTTCCTAAAACAAACAAAAGCTGCATGTGTGACAGTTCTGGCTTTAATAATTTCTAACAGTTTACCCGAGAAATTCTGCAATTACTGTACAGTATTTAGATTTCATCATTCTTGGGAAATTTTTCAAATTAATGGAAGACTGGTCACTTTCTAGTCTTCTTTTAAGGAGACAGTATTCTTATGCCACTTTTGTGGAGTGGACAATTTGTTTTCTCGTTTCACAAACATTTTGAGGCACATTCAGAGAATGGGTGAGAGGAGAGATCCAAAAGCTTTCTTGTTTCTTGAAGTTGGGTAATCAAACCGCCTGTTCCTGGAAGAGAGAGATTTGTATATATGGAGAAACTTTTGTCCTCCTTCTAACAATCTCTTAGCTGTAGCTACGATAGTTGGAGCTGGTGTGAATTGTGCACCAAAACATGTGAATGACCAAGAGTTTTCCTCTCTTGGTTTGCAACTAATGGCAGTAATGGCCAATAGGCTTAATACATTCTGTACCCTTTTATTTCTAGATTACCAGCTTCGGACACATTAATATTATCATCCTGTAGACTCAAGATCAGGATTCTGCATATTCAAGAATGAAAGAGTCTGGGTGCCTTTTAATCGTGGCTTCTCTGAAACAGATTGTATGTGTATCCTTCTTTTCCTAGAATGCTGCTCTGTTTCTTTCTCTGCACGACTTGATTTAGTAGCAGTTCCTGGACCCCTCTTCCCAAAGCAGGCAGGGCAAATAAAGGCTCCATTTCCTGTTGCCTTGAGGTGGTGGTTACACTGCTTCCCAGTGACAGTGGACCTGCCGCTTTTGATATGTCAACAGGGTGTGCCTTATAAGAACTCCTTTATGGAGAAACCTTCAGGAGTGAAGCCTTCAAGCAGAACCTCTCTACTTTAGAGGATTTTATAGAGCAGATGTCATAGAGCAGGGTACTTGGCTCCTTGCTGGGGCGCAAGTTAGACTGGAGAAGTGAGGAGAGCCTGGCTTACTGTCGCCTGATAACCAGAAGCCTAAGTTCAAGTCTCAGCTGGGGCAGAAACACTCTGTGTGAAGATCTTCGTTTTTTCAGTTTCCTTTTTCCAAATGGAGAATAGCAGCTTGTCTACCTCTTGTAAAGACGAGTGACACAGGTCACTGTCCAGAGACTGTGGATGCACTACCAAAAGAAAAATAAATAAATCATTTTCATTGGGTGATCGTGATACTGGTTTATATCATTAATTCCTGTTATCTTTTGTTTGTTACATTACCTCTTAATACACCTGCATCCTGCTCTCAACAGATAGTAAATCATTACTTTTGACTCTGTCTTGTCTCAACCTGTTTTCACAATATTGGCTCTAAAGTCCCAGACTCATGCTGGCAAAAATCTACATTTTTTGAGATGCACACACAAAGCCTAAAATTGCTCCTCAAGTTCTCTTAAGAGAATGGCATGTCGGTGTTACAAACAGAGAAACTGCTTCTGAGACATGTCACGTACTGACAACTTTTTCTAACTCTACACTTTTCAATACATTGCAAAAGAGAGGCTGTTTGCATGTCATAGAAGAGGGCAGGCAGTTATATGTACATGCATGTATTCTTGGAGAAAAGCCAAACAAATATTCAGAATATGTTGGCATATTGGATGTCTTTCAGTCCCCAATTATCTAGCAGGAATATTGATAACGCTTATTTACATTGGAGTGAGTCCCATTCAAAACAGAATGAATTTGCTTTTCAGTAATCATACATAGGCTTAGATTGTGAGACACTAGATCTTTGGCACTGGTGAAATATCAATCTGCCCCCCTCCTTTCTTTGGTTTTCTCATTTGCAGTGCTTTCACCAGCAATTTTGGCACCTAGTGCTTCTCTGCCCTATATATTGGCTAAGCTTGGGTCAAATGAAATTGATGTATGCAGTGACCTAACAGAAGAATGGCAAGTCCTTAAAGAAATAGGAGTGCCTGACCACCTTATCTATCTCCTGAGAAATCTATATGTGGGACAGGAAGCTGGATATGGAACAACTAATTGGTTCCAAATTGGGAAAGGAGTACGACAAGGCTATATATTGTTCCCCGGCTTATTTAACTTATATGTAAAATTCATCATTTGAAAGGCTGAACTGGAGGAATCCCAAGCCGGAATTAAGACTGCCGGAAGAAACATCAACAACCTCTAATATGCAGATGATAGCACTCTGATGGCAGAAAATTAGAAGGAATTAAAGAACCTTGTAATGAGTGTGAAAGAGGAGAGCGCCAAAAATGGTCTGAAGCTCAACATCAAAAAAACAAACAAACAAAAAAACTAAGATCATGGCCACTGGCCCCATCACTTCCTGGCAAATAGAAGGGGAAGATATGGAGGTAGTGACAGATTTGACTTTCTTGGGCTCCATGATCACCGCAGATGGTGACAGGAGCTACGAAATCAAAAAACGCCTGTTTCTTGGGAGGAAAGCGATGACAAACCTTGACAGCATCTTAAAAAGCAGAGACATCACCTTGCCGACAAAGGTCCACATACTGTAGTCAAAGCTATGGTTTTTCCAGCAGTGATGTATGGAAGTGAGAGCTGGACCATAAAGAAGACTGACTGCCAAAGAATTGATGCTTTTGAATTGTGGTGCTGGAGGAGATTCTTGAGAGTCCCCTGGACTGCAAAGAGAACAAATCTATCCATTCTAAACGAAATCAACCCTGAGTGCTCACTGGAAGGACAGACCCTGAAGCTAAGGCTCCAATTCTTTGGCCATCTCATGAGAAGAAAAGACTCCCTGGAAAAGACCCTGATATTGGTAAAGTGTGAAGGCAAGAGGAGAAGGGGACAACAGAGGACGAGATGGCTGGACAGTGTCATCAAAGCTGCCAACATGAATTTGACCAAACTCTGGGAGGCAGTGGAAGACAGGAGGGCTTGGTGGGTCACTAAGAGTTGAACATGACTTAACAACTAAACAATAGAAGAATGGGAAGAAATCCCTAAAGGTGGTGGGTACAATATAACGATATGGATTTCATGCTGACCCCTTGTTTTGCAATAGAAGAACGGGAAGAAATCCGTAAAGGTGGTGGGTACAATATAACCATATGGATTTCATGCTGACCCCTTGTTTTGTTTTCTTTTATCTAGAGAGACGCTGGAGGCAGTAGATGTGCTCAAAAGCAGGTAGATTTGTGCCCTTCCATCAAATACTTATGGGCAGGCCCATGTCCTTTCAGCAGTATGCTGAGATTGTGGGAACTTAACGGGAAGAAATCCGTAAAGGTGGTGGGTACAATATAACCATATGGATTTCATGCTGACCCCTTGTTTTGTTTTCTTTTATCTAGAGAGACGCTGGAGGCAGTAGATGTGCTCAAAAGCAGGTAGATTTGTGCCCTTCCATCAAATACTTATGGGCAGGCCCATGTCCTTTCAGCAGTATGCTGAGATTGTGGGAACTTGCTTAAATTCCCAGTACAATGCACAGTAGAAGGCCAGCTCTCCAACATCAGAATTAGCTACTGTACTGAAGTCCCCCTTTTTCAAGTCTCCTGATATTCCACCCTCTCCAAAGACTTGCAGTTAAAGCAATAAGACTTTAAGTGAAAAAGGTAAAAATATATTTTACTCACTTAAATTCCAGGAATACAACAGGCAAACATAAGGTCAAAGTTGACAGAGAAAGTAGAAGGGAAAAGTAGGAAAAAAGGGTGTTTCCTCAGCCCACTTGGCTTGAGAAGATCTGGAGGCTGGAGAGATGCAGTCTAGGGGGTCCAGGATCTTGGAAGGTAACAAAGCAGAATGGAGTCTTCAACCACACGTCAAGGGAAGAGGAAGAAGGCCAGAACTCTTCCTGCCCTAGGAAAATAAGCCCTTCTGACTTGCCAGCTCCCACGCAAATCAGCCTGTCAAAGAGGCTCCTCCTCCCATGAGTTGAAATTTGCATCAAGATTGTTAATTAGCCAACACAGCAAATGTTTGCGTCCTCTATGTTCTCACACCTTGGGTCAAAGTCCTGGGTTGCCTCATTCTATTTACCTACCTTCTCTCCTGCATCAAGGGGGAGGTACGGCGAGGAATTTGCTTTTTAAATCGTTCAGTGCAAAATCCGCCAGCTTCTCCTATGGAAGCCGGGCCAAACGTTTAACGAGAGGGGTTGCCCCTTGCAAGCCTCCGCGGGGGTCGCCGTCCCGTGAACTAACCCTGAACCTAGCAATCCAACAGGAGAGGGAACAATTCCCTTCTTCAAAGCATTCCCTGAGGATCGGGCTCTTGGAAGTCAAGGTGCGACTCGCCATCGGGTCGCGCGTGTCGCCTTCGCGGAGATTTCTGCTTTGGCTGGAAGGGGCCAGCAAAGGCGCAGGGGGAGCCCCCACCACTACCACCACCACCACCGGCGGACGCCTTTTATAGCCAAGGGCTGCCGAAGACGGCTGATCGCAGATAAGGAGGGGTGCCCTGCCAGTCAATGGGAGGCGAGCCCCCCCCTCCCCAATGCTCGGCTGCAACACTTGCGAGCTTCCTCTTATGCATTCCTGGAAGGAGGTGCCTTCGAAAGAAGCCCACATCTCAGATCGAGAGACCCGGGACGCCTGATGGGGGGGCGGCTGTTTTCAGGAAGGCAAACCCTGCACCCACCCTTCGGAAGCAGCCGCCTCCGCGCCTTGCAGGCTCTCTCTCTCTTCCCCCTCCCTCCCGTTCTCCCAGGTCGCGACCTCTTGCTCGCCCTCCGGGGTCGGACCGGGCAGGCGGGAGGGGGGGAGAGTCGAGCCAACCTCTTCCCGCCCGAACCTGCGTTTGAATCGCGGAGGCCCGCCCAGCAGTTCTGCTGCAGGTGGCCAATCGGCATGGGGATGTCGCCGGCTTCTGCCCGGAGCTGGCCTCCGATTGGTTGCGCCCGGGAAAAAGGCGGGGCGGCGAGAGAGAGAGAGAATGAGAGCGAGAGCCGAGCGAGGGTGACAATGTATCCAAGCTCTGGGAGCGCAGGGCGAAATCACAAACAAGCCCCCCGCGCCCAGGCACGTGGAGGCGGGGTCAGGGCGGGCGCGCGGGCGGGCGTGCGGAGGCGCTCGCGGCTTCTGCTG